TATGAATTACCATAATTCATCATTACAATACATCCTATTGACTAGAATTATGTAGCCTGGATGTTAATGATCTTGGTGTTCATATATTTAATTCAATTTTTCATACATATTGTGTTAATTTTTACCTGGTTCGACATAGGCCCCAAGCACCCTAACTCTTACAAACCAAAACACTTTACGCTTTAAAACATCGCCTCTCAAGACATTTGCCCAAAAATGATGGCCACAAATAAGATGCCCGAAGAGGTGATCATATCGTTTGTGAAGAACGTGTTCGCCGTAACCATAGCTCGGGAACAGCTGTTGGCGCCGACCAAAGAGTTTGTGGTCGGACTGTACGCCCGCTTTCTAGACGAGTTTGGGATGGAGAACGTGACCCAACCGGACCTCACGGCCAGCGGCGGTATCGCTAACATCGAGTACTACGAAACCAACATAATTGTGGTCAACATTTACAAATCGGTGTCCACTTTGGTGGCCAACGCAGGCGTTCCCGACATGACGTTCGCCGATGTGGTGGCGCCTAAGAGGGTCCGCACCAATCGGATCCTATCAGCCCTTTGCTCACTGATCTCCAAACTGGCAGAAATTGAGGGTCGCTTCCAACAGATGGAGACCAAGTTTGTGGATCTGCCCGCACGGCGACAGGCGGTCGAGCAACGCATCCGTGAGCTCAAGCGGTCGGTTGAAGAGAAGTCCATGTATTTGTCGGCCAACAAGAGTAAGACACAGGCGTCTGCTCAACATATCAAAGAGTTGGCCGAGAAGTATGAGGAGAAGCGATGCGCTGGCGATCTCTTGCAGGAGGAGAGTCGAGCACTGAAGACCACAATTCTCGCACAACGGGTCCGTACGAGTGATGTTGTGTCCAGTGATTCCATATAATCATTATCTTGTTTTTCTTAGGAAAAGATAAGCGAAATTGATATCGAAATGAGTAAAATGCATGAAGAGATCCATGAATTGGAGAAACAAGTGGTCAAAAGTCCGGAACGAATCCAAGCGGACACCGAAGAGAAGGAGACAGAACTCGAGTCCATACGCGCGGAGAAGAAGAAGTTGGAGAAGCAGTACATGGAGTCAATCCGTTCGGTCGACCACTTGAAAGAGGCCTCCAAGTCGTTGACGCCATCGCTCGACAAGTTTGCCGAAGCGTTCAAAGACATCGAATCCATTCGCAGTGAGTGCGAGAAGTTGTCCGAAACCAAGGCTCTGGTCAACAGTCGGGAAGAGAGGGTCAAGTCGTTGAATGTGCAGATCAAAGAGCAGGAGAAGACTATCCGAACGCTGCGGCAACAGATGGCGAACAACGATAAGTCATTTCAACAACAGATCCAAACGATTAGACAAATCAATGGCGGATTGAAGAGTGAGCTCGAGATGAAGATCAAGAAGAGGGCGGAAGAGGACAAGTACTGTCTGGAGGAGAAACAACGGCTTGAGTGCCAATTGGATGCGTTGGACGCCCAGCACAGGGCCGCCAAAGAGAAGGTCGACTCCATATGGAAACGACACGCGGAGGCCATGAAGAGTGTCCGCGATTTGGTTGAAAAGCGTATGAAAGAAGTCAAAGCTATTAAATCTCAACGAAAAGTTGTCCGAAAGTAATATTGTATGTTATGATTAATGTTGCCGTCTATTTGTTTAAACATATCAAACGAAATAAAACACGAGTTGAAAAGTAATAAATCTAGTTTTTATTAATAATTTTTTATTGCTAAATAAATTGTTAATTGGTACGTGTACTTGGATTGATTGTATAGCGTTAGTTGACTGTGGAATATTAAATTTTGATTAATTCTTGCAATATTAAATGAAACTATAAATGAAAATGTGTTAGTTGACTGTGCGTGATAATACAATTCAATTAATAAACTACATCAAAAAGAACTTAAATTATAAAAGCAAATTGTGCCAAATGTTATGATTTGCACTAAAATATATTTGAATTCAGAATTAGGTTATTATTTGATAGCAAATATTAAAATACTTAATAATTCATACAATAATTGTTACTTTATTATACAGTACTCACAATGATTGCATCTGGATAAGTCGTGTTTAAATGTTATTCGGTTTATCTAGCATTCTAAGCTTTACATCAATATAATTTATTTTTGTAATAAACTTAAAATGATATTTAGTCAATAAGGACTCAATGTCTTAAATAATGTGCCTGATATCTTATTTACAATTGATAATCAAGGATATAAGCTAGGGATATTGTGTTTTCACTTTTAACAGTATTTTAATAGTGTCACAATGAAATTAATTATCTTATTTTAAGTGGGATTAGTATGTTTTATCCATATACTGGTGATCCACTAAAATCACTAAATATATTATTTATATTAACGTAAAATAGTTTTTATCAATCATTTAAATCGTTTATAAGGAGAAGATTTTTGATGAAAAGTAATTAATGAGTTTCTTAAGACTTAATTAACATTATATTGTTATATAACGTGTATATTAATAATGTTTGCCATCTATTTGTTAGCATTGATTGCTTTCGCAAATGTAAGCGCATTTGAATTGAAGGAAAGCAATGATATCTATCAAGAAGTGAGAGATTCAAGAAATTTTACGGGAAAAGTAGTTTTAGTGACCGGAAGTGCTCAGGGAATCGGTGAGGGAATTGTCAAACTATACTCAGCTCTCGGTGCGAGTGTTGTCATCACCGGTAGGAAAGCGGCAGACATTTCAAGAGTGGCCAAAGAAGCGCAAGAATTGTCACCGAAAAAACTTAAAGTATTTTAACTTTAATATGTATTTTAAAATATCATAATTATGTTTAATTGAATTGAAAAAATTATAAATTAATCTTTTTATAATAGCCGTTAGAAGTGACCGCAGATCTAACCAAAGATGAAGATTTGCAGCATTTGTTTAATGAGACCATAAAAGCATACAAAGGATTGGATGTATTGGTCAATAACGCCGGTCTATTGATTAACTCTTCTGCAACCGATAAAAACTTTTTGTCTGTTTTGGACAAATCGGAGAAAATAGACTTAAGAGCATCACTAGAGCTGATCCGTCTGAGTGTTCCGTATCTCAAAAAATCCAACGGATCTGTAGTAAACATTTGCAGCACTTATATTGAACACCCGGTAAATAACACGATTAACAATAACATTATAATTATAACTACTATTAAATAAAAATATACCAAAATTTGAACCTTAAGCAAATATCATATTTGGGGTACGATATCGCCAAAGCCGCGCTGGGAATGGCAACCAAGGTACTTTCAATAGAGTTGGCCCCACAGGGTATACGTGTTAACTCTGTCAGGTAGAGTATATAAAATTATTTGAGTAATTACAATAATCAAGTTGTGTTATTCATTAATTGATTAGCCCGAGTGTTGTTCAGTCCCATCCGCGCAATGAGAGCTCTGTCTGGGAATTGAAAATTATGGACAAAGCGGTCAAAACGACACCATTGAGACGGCCCGGCCTTCCCATCGATATCGCCAAAGGAGTGGTATTCCTGTCCTCATCGGACGCCTCATTCATAACGGGACACAATCTGGTGGTCGACGGAGGGCTCAGATATAACGAGGATTCAGATTATATGAATGTATAAAATCAAACAAATTAAATTGTATCAGAAATTTTAACTATGAAATAAAATTCATTATTAATTGAATTCAATTTGAATGATTACATTTTTTACAGTATTATTAGAGCTAATAAAAAAGTGAAATCTTTGACGATAAAAAGTATAGACAGACTTTTTTTTAATTAGATTCTTTGGTATTGTATATAATTTTCCGGAATCCATCTTTAATTTTACCTAAAATACCAACATTATTAAAACTGATTTTTAACACAGCTTGTATTAAGCAGCTCTAGTTGGTATTTATATATTGCTATTTAGTGATCACTGATCATACACCAATAATAATGCAATAAAACATTAAAAATGGTACCAATGTGTGTGCTCGGGCGCGCCGTGTCAAAAATATGCCACTTCTAACAATCCATATAATAATAAACACCAATGAATTAAATATTATTTCCTACACTTAATGTTACTTGTTGAACTTACTTACTGTAATTGTATATGCTGTACTAAAGAGTTATGATGTAACCACTAAAGTTATATTTATTATAATTTATCAAAGTTATATGGTTAATAACTAATGCGATGATTATGTAATATGAAAAATGGTAAAGTGAAAAATGAAATATATTAAAATGAAATTTTATAAATTACTTAAATTAAATATTAGTAATAATATAACATTTTTCAATATAATAAAAATATAATAAAATTATATTATCTATTCTTTTCAAGGTTTAAGCATTTAAACCAAATGTTATGTTCGGCACTAAATATACACTTATTTATAGTACAATATTAGGGTTTAATTTGATAACAAATAATGATAGAGTTTAATACTAAATATTACTATCAATAAACGCATTGAGATTTGGTATATAAACGACAGACATCGTTGAAATTAAATATAAATTTTTTATAAATAATAAAATCATTTCAAATACAAAGTGAATACAAAACTAAAGCAAATAATGTCCGCAAAAGATATTTACTCTGAAGTGAAAAACTCGAGAGACTTTACGGGAAAAGTAGTTATAGTGACCGGAAGTAGTGGTGGTATCGGAGAAGGAATCGCTAAACTATACTCAGCTCTGGGCGCGAGTGTTGTCATCACTGGTAGGCGTGAGGATGGCGTCAAACGGGTGGCCAAAGAGTGTCAAGAATTATCACCGAAAAAATTAAAAGTAATTATACTTAATTATTGTATTATAAAATATAACTTTTTAATCAAGTTAATTATATTTGGTATTTAATAGGCTTTGGAAATACCGGCAGATTTGGGAAAGGATGGCGAAGCGGAGCGTGTGTTCAATGAAACTATTAAAACATTCAAACGATTGGATGTATTGGTGAATAACGCCGGCGACTATATTAAGGCCAACGCAACCGATGATAACATTGTCGATGTTTTGGACCGTTCATTGAAAGTAGACGTCAAGGCATCGCTTACTCTCATCCGACTCTTTGAACCATATCTTAAACAAAGCAAAGGAAATGTTATTAATATTACGTCTGTGTTTACGGAGAGACCGGTAAAGCATTTACTAATAATTTTTAAAAATTTAATCTCAATGTATTGTTTGAATTTAGCAAAAATCCTATTTGGGTTATCAATTGGCAAAACAAGCCCTGGAAATGAGCACAACTACATTGGCATTAGAATTAGCCCCAAAAGGCATCCGGGTTAATAGTGTTAAGTATGTATAAATTTAATAATATATATGGTAAATGATGTAATAATTTTAACAAATACATGCAAATAACAGCATAGGAGTGGTGCGATCACACGAAGCACATCCCGACCCCGATGTTATTAGAGCTTTTGAAAACGCCGCCAAATATACACCACTGGGAAGAGTGGGCACAACAGCCGATGTCGCCAAAGGGGTGGTATTCCTGTCCTCATCGGACGCCTCGTTCATAAC